CTCCACATACCTATAATCACTCTTTTTTAAAGTGACAATTAGAAATGTTAGAATTGTATATGTTATTGCACTTGAAGGTTTCTATCTAGGTTAATTCATTAGCATGGATTCATAAAAGTGGTAGTTTAAAATTTTTCATAAATCTACTGGATTAAAGATTCCATAGATCACCAATCTCCATTTGGATGGTGCTACCTATCCCTCCACTCCCATATCAAAAATTCTGAGAACAAATGATTTACAGACTTTTCTCTACTGTCATAAGTATACCTAGAAAAAAATGCAGTTGTCTTAAGTTATTTTCAGTAATGAAAAGGAAACAGCAAAGTGACTAATATAAATTGAAGGATACACTATTTTCTTTGGAATGTTTTGGTTCTTGAATTTTGGAACAGGTGTGGTTGCTGTTGAAGGAAACAGCAGAGTCACACTCAGCATATTTGACCTATGAGAAGCTGGAAAATTGCTCTGTGTCTTCTGCCTTCAGTATTATGGATATAGAATCCAACATACATCAAATTGTTCTTCAGTGCAAAATCTGTCACAGGGAAGAAGTAATGTTTTGGCTTGAAGACTACTTGGGCATAATAGAGTTAGACTTATTATGTCAAAAATGCCTCACAAGCCAAGTATTGTGGCATTTACGTCTAATCCTAACTACTCAAGAGGCTAAATTAGGGCRATTGMAAGTTTGAGGCCAGCCTGGGCAATGTAGTGAGAGACCCTGTCTTTAAAAAAAGTCGGGGGCAGGCCAGAGGGGCTGGGGATGTAGCTCAGTGGTAAAGCACCCTTGGGTTCAATCTCCTGTGCTGCAAAGGGGAGTGAGGGGAGAAAAGCCTCACAATACCCTCTTTTGGCTTTAAGAATTCCAGAGTAAGTTTGCTGTGGATTACTGAGAATAATTATATTAACTCAAGGTCAGCCAGTCAAAAAGAAGTTAGTGCTGACTTCTTTCCTATTAGCACAATGGAAATGCCCACTTTCAGGGACTTGCAACTTGGAATGGCATGGAGTGCACACCACCATCTTGTAGAGATGGGGTAGGTGCCAGCTGCAGCAGCCTGAGTTTGGTCAGGGGGTGGAAAGTCAGACTAGCAGCCAACAGTTTTTGTAAACAACAGGAAGGAGATTATACTATCAAGTACCAGTTTATGCCAACRAAAATCAACCCGTTCGCTACTTTTGGCATGCATGCCACAGATGGACAATGCTTCGTGTTTTAAGGGTCCATGTACAGGAAACTGCCAGTAGTAAGAATCAAGGAATGATTTTTTAATCTCTGTAGCTCAGACCTGGGATTTGGGAGTTGAGTAAAATAAACTCCTAAGTGTAAACTAACATGACATTTTTAAATTAGGAAAACAGCTCCAAAAAGTCTGTAGGATTATAGCTAAATAGTTAATATGGAAGAAATGTCATAGAGGGTTTAGAAGAGGGATGGGATGATCCAGTGTTGATTCAAGTCATTGAATTACTTTATATCTGTTTTTAAAAGGATGGGGAGTGACATCTCGCAGAGCTGTTTGGAGATTTGATTGATGTTTGAAAGTGCTTTAATATCTTTTGTGAAGTATCCAATAAGAGTAAAATGTGTCATCAGAAGTGAATTRCCTAAAGCAAACTTATCAGAATCATCTTGAATAGATGCTAAGCAGTTCTGTCTTTGTTCTAAGTTGTACTTAATAGGGCATTTGTATTTTTTAAAGGATACCATATTCTAATTTTCTTTCAAGTGTCAGCTGTATTCTTGGGGTTGTTAATTGTTTCTTGAGCTTTAATATGCTTTGAAGATGTTTGGTCACCTATAGAGGACAGTTTTTCCAGTTGCAGCCAGCTGAGCAGTTAAATGTACTTCAAAATGCTTCTTGCCAAGGACAATGTCTTTTGCAAATATTTGAGATGTTTGTTCTCAGTTGTGATTTATTAGTGAACCTGTGTCCTCATAGCATCTCCTTGGGAGGTACAGAAGACAGAGCCAGAAAGCATGTGGATGCAATTAGTTCATTAACTATTCAGAAAAAGCTTTTATTGAAGGGTACTCAATTGATAGGCTTATTGGTATGTGTATTTGATGCCTACTTAATTTCACATAGTACCCCCATTTAAATCATGCTGTTTAAATAATCTGACCRAATGTCCTTTTAATCTGCTTTTCCTTGTGAAAGAGCATGCAGTACTGCCACCTTGTTGCCAAAGTTTTGTCTGATTTGAATGTGCATAAAAATCAAGTGATTGCCTGTTGCAGAAAAGAGCTTACTCTTTCTCTTTGTCAGTACTTGCAAAACCAACTTAAAAGAAGTTAGTATTATTGGACTGAATTCAATAATTAGCATAATCATGATGCTATGTATTGTTCACGAGGGCACGCCCCTTGGCCAAATTTCCCATTAAGAGGACACCGATGTTGTCCTAGTGAATAAATCCCGGCACACATGATGCAAATCAGCGTGTTCCTGCCTGCTGCTCGGCTGCAGTTAATTTTAGCCAGGGTTTGTTCTATGAGTTGTAAAACTGTTTACCCAAGTAGAAGTTAGTAAGCTGAAATGTGACTTCTCGGCCTAATGTGATAGGATATCTATTTTAGACTTCAGATTGTGTTTATGATCCGGAGAGCAAACTTCTGAAGAATTGTGGTTCAGATTTCCTTTGAAACTACTTGTAAGTACTGAGTGAATTTTTAAGAGTTCTCTTTGTTCTTTGCGCCTCAAATCTTCCTAATGTGACTATCATAGAAATTTTTAACTCTTGGGAAAACTGGAAACTTTGGGATTGGTACTTTAGGACCATGTAAGATGGTGGCAAAAGCTTTTTCTTTAAATGTGTACTGAGGAAAGAAACCTGCATTATTCAGTTTCCCAAGAGAAATTATTTTATTCTTATTTTTATTTTTGCAATAGCAACCTGTAGTTTATTACTTATTTTATCTGTTAAAATGTTTGATTAGTCGAAATGGTTCCTGTAAATACAGAAAYATTATATTGTGTCACATTTAGCTTTATTTTCTATGGTAACCTAACTCTTGGGTGAAAAATGTTCAAAGCAAATTCCTGTTGTACCCGGCTCTACAAGTTTATACTGCAAAAATAATGGGAACATCAAATGTAATTTTGTTAAATGTATAGATGATTAGCTTTTTTAAAAAAAGATTTTGTGCTTAAAAATAGACCCATATGCTCCTAAACGGAAGCATTTTTWWAAAAATTAAATTATGAGAAAGATGTTAGAGAGTAATTTGAAGCATCCTCTATTTGATTGAATTAGTTATCAAAATTATCCAGAGGCCTTGAAAGTCTCTTCCCTTAAGTGTCTTTAATCTAACAGGTTATTACCAACTTAATTTTGGGCTGAGGAAAACTAATCACTTTAGTATTGAATATTTTAAAGTAAATCAGAATCACCTTGCTTGTTTTGAAGTGTGTTTGCATTCAGAGTAGACTGACTTCATGTCAAAACAGCTTGCTTATGACACACAACTAGGCAAAAATTATTTTATCAATTAATGTATAAATTACATCAGCTCAAGAATATTGATTTTGATAAAACAATTAGTCTTCCAGATCTTCATTTGTGAGCAAGGAGGAAGGCAAACCCTCAGTACTGTGGATGCCATTTTTCTATTTCGAAAAAAACTTCATTTAAAACTTCTTTGTTATTATGTGTTGTCTGATTTTTAAATACAAATGACATAAGGTGTCAACAATGAAAGGAAATGTTTCATGGGTACATTTAGTAGGAAAAGAATGTAAGAAAGGAAAATAGAACTGAATTCCTAGGCTATTTTTAGAAACAAACTTTTTTTAATCATAGTTTTTTATTGAGCARAAGAATAATTTATAGTCTAGATTAATTATAACAGAAAAGTCTCTCATGTCATCTTCAGCAGAAAACGGGATTCTGTTCCAGTATATTCTTCAGAATAGGTACATGATTCAAAGAATGTAACAGTTCTTGTTCTTTTCATTGTTAGTAAGGTGCCAGCAGAATCTCCAGGGGGTGTTTTTCAGGGTGTGTTGTAGTTGTATGTTAGTTTTCAAGATAAAATTCATTTGTTGTATTTTTTTTGGCTTGCCAAAAAGAAAAGCTGATTAGATTTTGTCCATTTTTTTTAAGTTTATATTGATTTCTATAAGTTTATATTGATTTTAGTGAAACATGTATTTTAGGTTGAGTTGTTAAAATGCTCATAAACACTTCCAGAGTGTTTGTTTTGAAGATTTATGTGCTGTGAGAGAGTGATCAGGTGCATGAAAGAGGAGATAGTATTAATTATATAAGTGGCAGTGTCAGAATCGCCTGTGTTTGCTGGTTCTAGAATTCTCTTCACTACTTATTCTTTGCATCCAATGAGGTGATACTGGTTGTGGTTCCCTCCTATGAGTGGAGGCTCAGASTGGTTATGACCTTGTGACAGATTACAGCTCGGCCAGTACAGTCACAAAACGGGGTCCACATGTCCAGAAACACACGCARTCTTGCGATCTGTAGAAAGAGCCTAGGAGCCCTCAGTTTTGGCCATGTGCTATGCACACCCACCCATACCTTATGTTGCTGTCATTCCCGATGCAGGTGATGTGCACATCTGTCCTCAGTCCTGTTTGAGCTGCAGTCACTGTCCTCTCACCCTAGTGCTTTACCTCTTTACATGCTTAGAGACCCAGAGGCTTTGACAGATTGCTGCTGATTGCAACTGATTTATTTTACTGTTACTTTATTCTTAGAGCATAGCTTTCTGCTCTGAAGCTTTGAGGAAGTTTTCGGGGAAGCAGAAAGAACTCTTTTCTCTGGGTCTCCTTCGTCCCCATGAGGTTTTGTTTTCATTTTTTGGCTGTGATGGCGATGGAGCCCAAGGCCTTGCAGATGCTAGGCTACACTCCCAACCCCCACATGAGGCATGGCTGTATAGGGACTATATTATATAACAKACTGCCTTTTGGTTTGCAACCAAATGCTCAGTGATTACATCCCTAGAATATTCTTTTTCAAAAGGAAATTTGGTAGCAAGAGACTGTGTTATAATCATTTTCAACTGTGTTATCTAAAATGAAAGAAAGAGTGAGCAGAGGGATGCCTCCAGCTTTGCCTTGTTGGACACAAGTATATGGTAATAGGATCTGCCTCTTGGGAGGAATGCTGATTTCTCCAGGAACTACTGGCACTGCTGTTATTATTTAGCATGTATTAAGCACCCCCAGAGCACATACAATTCACAAAGAGAGCATAGTTCCTACTCTCAAAAAAATGCATGTGCTAAAATTTGGCAGTATACAGAAACTGGGCCCTCTGACATACAATAAATAAACTGGCAAAACAAAGAACATGAAAAGAAAGAAAAGGGAAATAAGATGGGATGAGGTGAGTTGAGGGTAATTTAGCTTTCAGTTCATTGGGCTTTTAACAAATRGGATTGGGACAGGCTCTTGTTCCCCCTGGAGTGATACCTCTCTTCCCCTTTCAGWAGCTGTGGAAGTGATGGAAATAAGTGAAAACACTCACCCCAGAAGCTTGCCCACGGCTCTAGTTTTCTTATCAGTTCTGCAGAGGAGATTGAGCAGTGTTATYTATATCTGAAACTCAGTATGTGGTGGGGTGAGTTTGATAGAAAGTCCAATAAATATGAAAAGCAGCTTTCTCATAAAGTGATATTGAGTTAGAAATCTGAATTTGAGTTGCAGATTCTCTCTTCCCTCCTAAACTGCTTTGTAGTTGAACAAATTACTTAACCTTGYACTGGTTTAAAATGTCGAGTCAACTGTGAAATTAGTTAGAGAARAGCTTKAAGCTTCTCAGAAGACAGGTATCATGAGGGTCTATGAAGCATTACTGCAGATTATAAAGGAATCAGAAGAACATGACTCAGAGGAAGAGCTAATAAGGCAAGCTTGGGTATTGGAGATTAATAAATATGYATATACTGTATGAATCCATGAATCACTCCTTTCTTTATACCAGCCTTAGCCAGTCCCTGACTAAGATTCTGCGTCAGGTTCATGGCTCCACAGCTGAAAGAAGCTTGGAGAAGCCTCAACAAAGAATCTCAAAAAAAAAAAAAAAATGATTAAAGGGTTGGAAAATGATGCCTATAATAAGAGGTTAGAGAACTTCTATTATTTAGCCTGGAGGGGAAAAAACTGACTGGTGGACTCTTGAATTGTTACTCAAGTATATGTATGCCTCAGTACAAAGAATGAGGCCAACTAGTATC